CGTATCGGAGACCACACTGTCACAGGAGTGCTGAGAGTCCGCAGCGGATTTTAGGTATATGCGATATGCATAAATGTGTAGGATGTGTAGGATTCAGGATAATTTACCAAACCGTGCAGATCCGGTGTGACGCCAAGTCATCACCAGTCACGACCACCGCGGGCAAAACAAACACTATTATAGCGCCTAGCCCACCGCACCCATGGTCACGGACTGACGCCTGTGTCAGATGGTGGATTCCGATTTAAAGAAATCAAGCGCGGTTAGCTAACAATTAACACAATTAGCTCCAAAGAAAAAAAACGTAGGGACGCAAAACAACATTACAAACACCACACAAAACAAACTGAAACTAGACTAGCCAAGCACAATATTTCTATATGGTGTCATTATCAAATGCAAGAAAAAATAACAAAATAAATAGCACGTAAAATCTCATGATGAGCCTTACCTTGAGTAGACTTCATGCAGTGATCATGCAGTTAGCTCGCGAACAAATTTCATCACCACAGAAAACGTGCAAAAAGTGGGAAGGGAAAAGATTGATGATTGATTCTATTTGCAAAATACATAAATAGTGTTATCAAATGCTTCAAACTCGTCGGGCATATGAAGCAGTCTCAGGCTGATATCATGCCATCGTTTACACGGGTATCATAGCTCATAGCTCATAGATCATAGCTGTGAGTTTCAGATAAAATGCCAACAACGCCAGTTTGAGTCGACTAATCTATAAACGACAAATACCGGCCATCACAAAAGTGACCAACAATTGGATGCGCAATTACGAATGGGAAGTGTATATGAATGGTCGTAAACCTGTTAGAAATAAATGCTTAACAAATTCTCGAGAAACGTTGATTAAATATCTGGTATAAAAGTACATGGTTCCTCCCGAAACAGCGCCAGTTTCCAACTTCATGACCGCACACAGCTTCTTTGGGTGGTAATAATCATTGTCATGCCAGTCTCATTACCATGAGCATTTTTTTCCGTTCCAGTGATTAGTACATCTCGGCTACATTCCCGTGTTATGTAAGAGTTGGTGTGCGGGGTATGTGGCGGAGTTATGGCCCCCTACATAATCCGCTTACATAATAACGCGCTGCACGCGCAGAACGCTCTGCAAGTCTGCACGCTCCTCAGCTTCGGGATTTCTCACAGAGCGGAGGTGCGCTCCCAGCTCCTCAGTTGAGATTGATCACAGAGCGGAGGTGCACTCCACGCTCCTCAGGCGGGATTTCTCACAGAGCTGAGAAGTGGTCACTGCGTGGGGCCGGCAGATGACAGGCGGCGATAATTTACACAATAGACGGAACGTCAGGGGCCGTCCTCACGGCTGACTTTCCCTCTCACCCGCCGGATTTGACCTGCATTGGTACACCGGTTACATTCAAATTGGGTCATTGCAGTGGCGAAATTCATTCATCATCGCACATCATAAATCCCTGTGGAGTGATTCCACATGCTGAATGATACCACCAATGATAAGTAGCCAAGTATTTCTTGTAACAAAGATCCATTGTTTTTATCACTTTTATTGGCGCCAATGTCTTCCGTCTTCCGGTATTTATCGGCTAATTGTTCTCAGAAGGCCCCATCTAATGGCTACGGAATCCAATGTGCACGACGGTCCGAACCAAATGCCATTTCGAGGTCAACCTCTGGCAGATTTGCTGGCAGATCTGCCATTTCGAGGTCGGCCTTTGGCATTTTTGGCGGTACATCTGGCGAGTTAGGCTATTTCCGTGATGTTCTTCCGAGGTCACATTGCAAGAATTATTAGTGGCATCGTAAAAAGGGCATTGACATTACTGATATGCCAAATGTAAAAAAAAAAACGCTCGGCACAACCATACAATATTTCTGTTCATCAACTTTGCTAACTATAAATTACATATAACATATTATTCTTTGAACACTTGCATGTGCACTGCCCTAAAATTCATTTTAACGCCTCATATTTTCTGAGCCATGTCACACGACACGCGTATGACAGCTTATCATTAGCTGTGTTTTCGCCCCACACTGATGACGGGGCGGGCCCGGTTTCCCTGTGGGGTGGTGCCTCCACAGGCCGACGAGTCTCCGGTCAGAACCAAAACTCCCCGTAACCACACACTACCAGCCGCTGGAAATTCCCGAGTCGAACGCTGCAACCACCGTCCCCGCACTCCGCGGCACATCTGCCGTTGTCATGACAACCAATGCGACTCAAGATGGCGACAACGATGACCTTGGCGGTCGGCGGACGAGATTCATGGCCGCTGCAAGTGTATACCGGATTCACAGACGGGTTTTGGAATGCAGCTTCATTTCCGGGTCTCTGAGAGCATTAGCTTTATACGTATTAATGCCATCTAACTTCTAAGAGAGTAAGTAAGTACAGGTTAAACGATGCGCAGAGTAACTTTCGGTGCCTACACTGTGTTTTGCAATAGTTCACTATACTGACATATGCGTGATACTTGCACTGCTGGGTGACGTAATGTTTTTAATACAACTTTCACAAAGTGAATTCGACTATGAGCCAACGTTTCAAACTCTGATTATATCCACAAAACTATAATGATAGCATTTTAGCTAGCACGAGTTTGTTGGGAAAAGAACAAACTGCAATAGGTACCAGATTTGCTATCTTCCGTGCCGAGTTTCAAAAAGAGAAAGTGTTGGGCAGCTGCACTATTTTTAATGTCCTGTGACCATACTAAGATAACACATAGGCCAGTAGTTACACAATGTCCTGAGACCCGTAAAATCACGCCAAAAGCCGCCTTTGTCTGGAACTGAGCTTATAGGGTGACGACACCACACTAACAGAAGCTGATGCCATCTGAATGATTTGATTATTAAAGGAAACCTGTTGTAGTGCGCCTGAGTTCGACTTGTGCTTGTTACGACTGGAGAGTCAGAAACCTGTTGGGGAGAGTCTGGAGAGACCACATTGTGCGTCGGTACTAGTTAGGCCTTTCCTAGCTAAGATGTGCACTCAAGAGATTAAGCGTACACAATCTAATTAGGTACACAATTCTGAGATTTAACATGCCGCCCTCGAGTGGTCACTATATCCACCACTCGTAACACCGTGCCGTGCTGTCGGTATACAGTGCACGTGTACCCGGTGTGGCCGGTGGCAGCAGACGCCCCCTCCCCGTCCCTGGGTGGCCGGCTCCTCAAATCCCGTCTGGGGGTCAACCTGTGCCCGCCGCTGTGAGTGTGACCACCACTTCAGCACAACCTCGGCGATCACGCCACACTAGGCCCCGCCCCGCCCGCCGCCTGGCCCCGCCCCCCTCTGTTGCGTCATGTGCTCATCGGCTGATCCCATCGTCTCCGTAAGGAGGGGGGGGGGGGTATGGAGGGAGGGGGTACTACAAGGGCGGTACATCAAAAGTTCCTGAGTCCATTCAGGGTATCCCTTCGAATCGAGCTTAAGAATTAAGCGAAGGGGGTTAAGTTGTTTTTTTTTCTTGGTTGTATGACCTCGTTTGATTTAGTTTCAATCATTTTTACAATGTCATAAAACTGAACATCTAAATTTTCAGCATATCATGTTTTTGTTATGATGAACGGAAAGCATGGCTTGCGATGGTTCTACATTGGAATGGGATAAAAAGCACTTTGTCACTTTGTCCCATTTAACCCAAAGAATGTTTGCTGGATCCGCCCGTGCCGACGTGTTGGCGAAATTCGGGGCTCCCTTGGGGGCGGTGATGGGTCCTACGCAGGCAGTGAGGCCGCCGGCTGCTCAAGGAAAGGTCAGACGGTTGGGCCATACCCACGCGGGGAGTGCTTAAATCTCAGCACAGAAGTGAAGGGCCGCGGTGCCCAGTTGAATCGGTTGTGAAATGTGATTCGCTAGACTTTTGATGTAGGTCACAGACTCACAGATTCGTTCTGGGTTGGGTGTGTAGAAGCTGACATTTTCCATTCCGTAGGATGTTCGACATCTAAAAAACTGTTTTCGATTACAAAAGCGATGTATTTGACTGCCTTTGGTGTTTTCGTAGCTATATCACCGGCACATTAGTGGCAAAATTAAATGAAAACGGAGACGATATGTCATACCTACGTACACTTGTGCTGTGCCGCAGTGTCCTGTTGTGTGTGGTGGGATGGGGTGCGCGTAAAACCTTGACTTGCCTGTTAAATCACCACGGAACGTCACTGTCCATCTAAGGCTATTTTCTGCCGCAAAACGCTGAGACTGAGAGACTCACTTTTTGCCATTGGCAGACGCCCTATGGCCATTGACCTTTTGCCACAGAACTCTGGAGCTTTCAGCTATCTCCCGGGCAGCAACAGGGATTACGTATTAGCCGGTAGTTAATACCGGATTAAAGGGGATTTGTTAATTTGTCATCACCTGCTGCCGGTCCAGGGTGACTGACGGTTGGCTGCCCTGTGACTGATGGAGGGTGTTAACAGTGTGTTGCAGAAACCGAAAATCAGAGTGGGCTACGCTCGCGGCATTGTTCAACGAAGAAGAAGTAAGGCCCTTTTATTACCTTTTTTATTGCTGTTATTTTGTTTTGCAAACACTTATTACTGATGCTGTAGTTGTACTGACTGGAAAATCACTCAATAAAGTCCGGGTGTTGAGCGAATTGTGGCGTAATGTGCTAAAATTCAAATGTTCCATTATTGAATCCGAGCTTTACTTATCCCATTTTCTATGTGACATGGATGCTTAGAACCGTGAGCTCGCTTGAAATGGTATATCTGTGACGTGCACAAGACAATCTCCAGGCACGCCATTTTTGCCGTGGCAATCGACATTTGTATTTACTTTCAGCGGCCTGAACATGTGCAGTGTGCAGTGTGCATTGGCCATTCGGTGTATGCTGTGCAAGTATTTAATAATTTTTGTATTTTTTTTTATCTACATTTTTTTTTTATCGACGAGGCCAACATCCGTATCTTGTCTGCATTATAACGTTAAACGGGCAATAGACCTCGTTAAACGCGTAGTACACACTCCGACCAGTAGGTACACAGACAAGTCATCTGTCCGTTTATTTACAAAAATTCGCGCACGGCACACTTATAGTAAATAAATACCGCTACAGTGGATCGTCAAAGGTAAAAGGCGGTATCATTTATGTACTTACATAGGTCGGTCGCATGGTCAATTACCTAACCTACGTGGAGCACGTCTGCGCGTAAAAAGAGCTGTGAGATTCATTCGCTGCCGCGAGTCAGGCGCTATCAAGGACCTCTGATTTAGCGTAGCAGATCAGGTGTTACTACACTCAGCCAGTCACAATATGATTGAAAGCTAAATGTCACCGTATGTCAAGAGATCGGATCAAGCCTGATCTGATCTTATCAGGAAATTAAAACAAGTCAGATGTGAGATGGCTCCGCCGTGCAAGTTGGTGCTGCCAGCGCTAATGTTGTTACCTAAACGCACATTTACTGACGCCCAGACGCGACTTTGACTCTCAACTGGCTCAGATCGAGTGGTAAACAGTACACATCCACAGCTAGCCTCACATGACGTCATCAGTGCTCGCGTCGGCGTTAGAACAGCAAGCAGACGCTGCGTGCGTCAGGGCAGTACAGTGGTCCACCTCCACAGCGCGCTCTCACCCGGGCGCGGTGTTTGTTTTCGGCTAAAACTGGCCGCTCTAAATACCCCTGTCGCGCCGCCAGCGCCTCTGTCGGCGGCGGGCCGCACTAGCGGCCGTTCCTGCCCAGCACAGATGGCACTGCGGTCGGGTCTGTCTGCAGCAGTCGGTACGTCTTGGAGACGGCTGCCATTCGCTGTTTCTGCTGCTCGGGAGTGGTGCGGATGACGGCTGTCTGCTGCGGCCCGCTCCGGACCGGCTCCGGCTCCGGCTCCGGCTCCGGCTCCGGCTCCTGGGAGCCGTACTCCTGCTGCAGGCGGCGGAAGGACCGGGACGGCACCGCCGAGGGCCGGGCCGGCCGCGGCGCCTGGCCCGAGCCCACGGCGCGCAGCTCTCCCAGCACTGCCCCCCGGGAGTCGTCCGCCTCGTCCCGGTACTCTCCGGCCAGCTGCTGAAAGGCGCGCGATGGGTTCCTCCCGCCCGAGTACCGACCGTTGGTCGGCGGCCGCCGCTCCCGCTCCTGCTGCAGCCGCTCCCGCTCAATCCGCTCGCAGGTCGGGACGCCCGCCGCCACCGCCACCGGCGCGGGCGGGGGCGGGGGCGGACTGTGGGCGGTGGCGGTGACCGACTCCGGTCCGTGCGCGTAGTGGCTCGGGGAGCGGCGGGGCTGTCCTTCCGAGGGACGGGCCAAAACCGGCGCAGAGCCTGTAACACGTGGAGAGGCCGTACAGCGCGACCGTGCTGCCGTCTGCCGGCCGGCCGGGGAAGCTGCGGTTCGCCCCACCGCCGCTGGAGGCGCCTCTGCGGCGGGGGTGGCGGCGGAGGAGGCTTTCACCACCCAAGGAGGAACGGCAGGAGGACGGGAGGACCCTGACATCCACTGAGGAGCCGTCCTCTGTGAGGAACACTCGGGCGATCGCCCTGCCACCTGGCGGTGACCGCCAGAGGCGGACTCAGTCTGATCGCGGAAAAACCGCAGCGCAGACTGGAAGGTCACGTGACCTCTCCTCTGGGTCTGGGGCTGGGATTGAGCGGAATGTGCGGCCCTCACCGAAGCATGCGATGAAAAGCTTCGCAGCTCCCCGGTTACATAGCAGTGAGAAGCCTTTACCTTAGTTACAAAATCCTTCACCTCGGAAACAGAATCCTTCACATCGGAAACGGAATCCCTCACATTACAAAGAGAATCCTTCACCATGCTGGAAGCACCACTAGCCGCAGCGAAGCGTGTGTTAGTGTTCTCCCGCGCCCTGGTGCGGTTACCGGGAGGCACTGGCCGGAAAATCTTACTGTAGCACTCTCCCCAGACCTCGTAGGGACCGGAGGTACCGTCGGGGGACTCCAGCAGGACGTCCACCTCCATCTCCCGATCCGGGGTCGAGATGATAACGTGGGGCACGTGCTTTTTACAGGAGGCGGTGGTCTGCGGAGCGGCGCGGACGGTGTCGTTAGAGACAATGGAGGCAGGGTCATCCGTCTGGACGCCTTTCGACTCCACTGAGATTCTAAACCGAACCTTGGCAGCATTACTTTGCTGAGCATTGTTATTTGGATTATCAGAAGGGAAAGTATTGTGAAATTTAGCGTTACAGTCTATTGAGCTTTGTGGAGCGCTTCTCTCTTTATCTCTTTCTTTGCGACCTCTGAGAACTCTGTTTTCTTCGCTGGTCCTATCTTCGTTAGCCAGCGCACCAGTGGCCAGATCAAGAACACTTCCAACTACACGATCAACGATGCGGTCATCGACCGTCGCAGCTTCATTTGGATATTCTTCTTTCTCTTCTCCCATGCCACTTTCGATTTCACTTTCATCCCCACTCTCTTTGCTCTCACCTTCAGTCTCCTCGTCTTCGTGTGCCCTCACCTCCGTAACTTCTTCCGTCTCTTCTTTCGTCTTCTCCGAAACCAAGTCCTCTTCCGTAACGGGCGCGAACGCCTCCTTGGTTCCACTATCGGCCACCGGCGGCGCCACCATTGCCTTCAGCCGCTCGTTCCGCTGCTCGAGCCTCTCCAGCCAGTTGTCGAACTCCTCCTCCCGTTTGTTTTGGAACAGCAGCTCTCCGTCGTTATCGCCAGCGTTAAACTCCCGCCTGCTCCTCCAAATGTCCGCCACCAGCGCCTCCAGCTCCCTCCTCTGATCCTCATCAACTCTCTCCTCTCCCACCTCTCGCTCCTGCTGCTCCTGAACCTCTTCTTCCTCCTCTTTCGCAGGACTCTTCAGAAGACATTCCTCGTCTTCTCTTTTATCACCTCCATTCGAACTTCTTTGGCCTACACCTCTTCCCTGCAGGTTCATCGACCTTTCCGTCGAGAGTAAAGTCACGTCTGGGGTCACCGATCGTGACCGCGCCAGCGTGACGTCATCTTCAGACGTCACCGTGGATTCTTCTTCGTCCTCTCCCTCCGAGGAGGTCGCTAGGTCGCCCCCATTGGGAGGGTCTCCATCTAACTTTCCCTTTTCGAAGGGTTCAGCATGCTTACCTTCCTCCAAGAAAGCTTTATCAGAGTGAGACAAGCTCTCTGACTCTGAGTCAGACTCCGAATCAGAGTCAGTTTCTGAGCCGGACTCGGAGTCGGTTTCGGTGTCGGTGTCGGATTCGTCACATGTTCGGCCAGTTTCGCCGCAGTGCTTGGCGTCATCTCCTGTTCCCACCAAATCTCGACAGTTCTGTCCATCGAGGCCCAGCTCTAGCTGCGTGTGCCCTCCACGGTAGGAAGCAGGCACACAATGCTCTTCCTTCACGTACTCCTGTCTACCAACGCTCTCCACTTCGTTCTCATATGCATCCAAGTCCTTAATCACAAGTTCCCTGCCTCCGGCGCCCAGTTCTTCTGTGCTCTCCGTTTCATTTTCGTCCCCGTCGAGCTCCGGCTCGGAGATCGTCTCCTCGGCGTCACCAAAGCCGCTGCTGACGCTGCTGACGCTGCCGATGCTGTTGATGCTGCTCATTCGAACACCCCTGCCACCGCCACTGTTGGTGGTGGTCGTCCGCACCGGACTGGTCATGTTGTCGAGGCTCTCTAACGGTCTATGGCAGACGTCCTTTCTACACAGTCCTTGGCATTGCTTGCCTTTCGATGCCTCCCATGGTAGATACCTTTCGTATTCACTGTATCTGTTGCAGTTTGGAACGCAGGCGTTACCGTTTCGTTTGGACCTGAAGTTCTCTCTGCTGTTAGTGATACGGTTTTTCGCAGGCGCACTATAGACCCTCCTTCCACCACCAGTATCATCACTTCTATCGCTTCGACGAGCATCAACGGCGCTCACAGCAGCCTCTCTCACACTACCACACCTTCCGCTCTCCTTCACCAGAGCTCCGTTCGGCACACGGCTATCGCGCTCGTCATCTTCGAAACTCGACAGCAGCCGAGCCAGTCTAGAATATCCCGGAGTCTTCAGCGGCTCCTCTTCCTCAGTATTCCTAGCATCTCTGAGACCTGCTGCTGTCCGTGAAGACACTCTTGAAGGAGTGCTGGGTGCAGGGGCCGTGGCCGGCAGTTCGGCGTGCAGCAGCCACGCCCTCCTCCGGCGCTGTCTCCCGGTGACGTCAGAGCTGCCTCCAGTGACGTCAGAGCTGCCTCTGATGACGTCACGGCCGAACGGCAGGCCCAGCCGGCGGAAAGCTACCGGGGACAGTGGGCGAGGCGTTACACCACTCCCAACTCACACCGCTTTGTTGTTTTACACTACTCGATTATTGACTCTCTGTACAGCTAGGCAAGCCCACCCATCACCCATGCATCAGCGCCTAGCCTGTTATGCACTAGCACCCATCACCAACGTAGTAGTTCTTCCCAGGACCCTGATTCAATCACCATCACCCATCCCCGACTGTGGCCCCATGAGTCAGCGCCGCAGAAACCTCCCAGCCGTCAGTCTTCCCTACACTGACAGAGCAATGTGTATATTCAGCCGGAGCCGAATGGACCCGCGATTTGTTTGTTTAACTCACACCCAGACTGAGTCAGATCGAGGTGCAGTGCCGTGGCGCCAAGTGAAATCGGCAGACGCAGTGTCAGTGGACGTTCACTGAATGAAAGGACTGGCGATATGTTGCCTTTCCGACAGAAATAGTAAAGTGAAATGCATTTATTATCTCTGCGAATAGCTCAGAATAATATGTTTCAAGGTCTGTGATTTTTCTATTATTGATTTAGAGAAGAAATAAATTATTTGGATTAGGTAATGGCTAAAAGATTTAAAACCATGTCTATGCTGTGAATTATTATTACTATTATTATCATTATTTTAAATAAGATAGAAGGCAGAAAGTTATGCCTAAAACGCAAAAAGGTCTTGCGTTGTTGGGACAATCAGCCGAATATCGAAGTAATGTTTAAAAAAAGTTTTATGCATACAACAGATCTAACTTGTGCAGTGTGCGTAGCAGTTATAATACGTTCGATGCTCGATATTGACACAATCAATTACTTTGTTCACTATAGTATAAACTTTCGGTTGATCCGGCATTCATTTATGGTAAATATATGGCCGGGCAGCAGCAGTTTCCATTCAAAGCATCTGCAACGCGCAAGGATCACAAGAGACCGCACACAAACACAGGCAGGCGGGGTGCAATTCGCATGCAGCATGCAATAAAACGCACTGCATTCACAATGAAAGCCCGCGAAACAAACAGACGACCCGGGAGAGCACGAGCGGAAGCACCCGTATCCCGTCCGCGCGCGCGCGTGTGTGTGTGTGTGAGGGAGAGGATCCGGACCAAATGAGGACCTCAAAGGGAACGGGGACCACCGCAAACTTCTTACCTTATTCACAGGCAGGGCAGAGGAAGTAACAAGGAAACGTAGGTGCAAGCAAACAAACGAGATACAAACAAAACTCAAAACGAAAAGTTGTTATCAGGGAACAAAGCAGAACACTAGCAGAAACGATTGAGAGATGGGTATACAATTTAGCAAAAGCATGAAATCAAGTAGAAATAAATGGCTACGAAAGGAACTCTTTAGAAGTACATGGTGAATTTAACATATTATGGTTTTAGCATGATAGTGTTTATGCGCAGTAGGAGGAATAACACAAATTTATATATTATTTATTTCGATTTCAGTTATACGACGTTTAAAGAATGGTTTGCTGGACGGGGGGTGTATACTAGTGATGTCAATTACGGAAAATCGGAATACCGATACCAAACCAAATACCAACCAAAACCACGGGAAAATACCGAAACCAAACCAACTTGGGAAAATGAGGCAAATACCAACTTTTTACCAATTTCTTAGCCTCTTATACACTAGTGAGGGTTTATGATACCAACAAAATACCAATCACATTACGATTGAAATACCAAATACCAAATTGGTATCGGTTTGGTATTGGTATACCAAAAAGTTGGTATCCGATTGACATCTCTAGTGTATACCAAGCCATTCGGCAGTCACTGGGGAGTTTGACCTAGCGGCAACCTATCACCGACCTGGCAGCCAATATGGCAGCACCGTACCTTGATCGTCGGCCGTCATTTGCTGCAACATCTGGAAGCTGCGCGAGGGAATATGGCCGCCCGTGTATTTCCTGGGCTCAGTGACCTCCTGCTGGGACGGAGGCACGGCCGGGCCGCTGGCACCTCCTGGAGGTCAGACAAGGTCACAGAGAGGTCAGAGAAGGTCACAGAGAGGTCAGACAGTGACTTCCTGTTGTGATGGAGGCACGGCCGGGCTACCAGCACCTCCTGAGGGTCAAAGAGGGGTCAGAGAGAGGTCACATAGAGGTCAGACGAGACTAGGGGGCCTTCAGAGGGTCACAGAGGGTCACACAGGGAGGTCAAGGAATGTCAAGTTGGAGATTTGCAGTGCAAACTCTGGGACTGAACAGACGTTTAATTGGTCAGAAGTCAGATAGAGCACTACCGTACGAACCAAGTGAGCAGACGAGGCAGAAAAAGGACAAAGACCCAGGGGCCATGATAGAACAAAAATGGAACTAGAAAGAGTTGACACGTCAAGGGTGGAAGCGAAGGACAGGCCCGGGCATGACCCGAGCTCATACCAGGAATGAGTTGAGTTATAAGTAATGAACTGACGTCAATCACACTAACTGATCGCCAGATGCCACTCATTAGTACGAAAAAGATGAATATCGAATACAAACTACACCACACGCAATGGTACAGTTTGACAGGTCCTCACAAACATGGGACATTATTTCGGCCTACGGAGGATGGAATTCTTACCAGTGGGTGGCATGGCCCCAATCGCACGGAGGTACAGGTAGTCCGAAGAAAGATGATGAAGAAATGATCGAAATCAGATCCATCACCAAGTTGAAATGCAAACTTTATGCAGGCATATACTGGCAAACCTTATAATAATTAAAATCCCATGATCGGCTAATCAACTTGCGCAAAGGACCACATGAAGCAAGCAAGAAAGATCTGGCGGTTAGCCGGAAAATAAATGAGCAGTTGCCACTTGCCACCTACTTCTTTATCCGATTGCGCGCCACAAGGGTAAATAAAATGTTAAAGTATCGCCGATACTTATGTTTTTTTTTTGCAGCCGTGAGTCACGTGAGCAGAGGTATACAGATCCTTCAATGGCAATTAAGCCAAGGATAACGGATTACAAGACACTGCAAGTGTGTTTACGTTACATGAACGTTTCCTTGCTGAGTTAGCACTTAATACCAGAAACCTGTGTACTTGTATCTTTACCATCTAGAATGGTGACCGATACGGTCCTGTTCTGGCTGAATGAGGCATATATCTGAATGGTTAACCCTCGCCCATGTAGGGGGGGGGGGGTTGGTGCAACCCCCCCCCTGAGGTTTTTCGGAAATAGTGCAAAAACGGCGGCGCGCAGCGCCGCCAAATTTTGGGTACCTTATGGGGCAAACCTTGCGCATCTTTTGATAAAAAAAATTTGACCGGGTCATGTCAGGTCACGGAGTTATGACGTCACAAAGGGAACAGCCTCCGGCCGGATTTTCACAAACTGAGTGCCAACGCCCGAGGTTTCCTGCCGGTGGTACGGACATCGGTTGATGGATCGTGATGAAACTTCCCACGCATGTTGGGGCAAGTATTGGCTATCATATGGTATAAGAAACTTGACCGGGTCAGGTCAGGTCACGGAGCTATGACGTCACAAGAGGAACAGCGTCCGGTACTATTTTTGAAAAGCGCCCGAACCACTATTTTGCTAATTCTTGTCACCTCAATGGGAATATGCAGCAATATTAGCTTCTATAGGGAGCAAATGGACCTTCCAAATCCAAAAATACAATCAGATTTCAAAAATTTAAATTTTGATTTTTCGAATTTCTGCCGCCGACTGTGACCTTGCCGACTTCCGGCGCTCCCAACGCGCCATTTTTAGAGCTAGGGAAACGAAATACATACCAAACGATAGAGAATTGATCAAGGAACACGATAGTGAAGGTTTCAAGTCGATATCTCCCATCGTTTTGCCGCAATCGCCGCGGAAAGTTGAAAAAAGTCTATTTTTCCGAAAATTTGACCTTTGACCGGTCAAAAGTAGGTCAAATGTTGACCTAGGACCAAAAAATATACCACCAATCGCGAGATCTCGGCGAGAGCAATCCGTTGGTCTTTTCTGCTAAGCTCTACGACGCTCCGTTTTCAAACGCCAAGGGGGGGGTCGCACCAACCCCCCCCCCCTGCATGGGCGAAGGTGGCAGATCGCCGTTTACGGGCGAGGGTTAACACTCAATACCGGTGTACTTACTTCTATCACCTGTCGGCATGGTGAACAGTGGAAACGACGACAGTCCTCTCCTAGCCAAACCTGTGTTAACACTCGTTACCAGTGTAATGTTATTATTTGTCGGCATGGTGAAAACCGTGACGGCCCTGTCCTAGCCAAACCTATGTTTACACTCGTTAACGGTGTAGTGTTATTACCTGCTGGCATGGTGACCACCACGGTCCTGTTCTGGCCCGGACCGCCTATCCGTGAGCTGGAGGGCGGGGCGCCGCCTGAAACTGGAACGCAGACACGTCAGGTTACACGGGGCACACGGGTTACGACGGGTCTTGTTTCATGGGGCTTCCATGCTCAAAGTATTTGTAATTACAAATGATGTGTAGTCGAGGCACCATATCGTACCAAAACTTTGAGATGATTGATTCTTTAGGTCGAAACGTTAGCATGTCGGCAGTTACAAAATGATAATATCGCTCTCCTAAACTAAATTTTCTCGAAACATGTAGATCTTTTTGAGGTCTTAACTTACTGCCCTTGAAAGTATCAAATTTGTGAGTAACTAAGAGCCAAAGGCCCCAATGCTTCATCGTACGACTTCTTTCCCCAGTGAATAACAAACTTATAATAAAGCATTTATTCGTGCAAGCTGTGCCTGACCCTGAGCTGAGCCAAACTTACCTAAATTTAACACATACCCAAGCAAGCAATGAAGCAAAATCCGATAAAAATCGCGGTCCCCAATACAAGCATAGCAATGGCATGCAGAACCAGTTTTCGAGCGACGTACAGACTACCGTAGAAGCGTTCAGCGAGAGATCATCATTCAACATAAAATCATGATGATAAACCATCGTAAAGCCCCGAAAGATAGGCAACAGACATGCAAGGCAGGAGTTTGAGGTCACTCAACAAACAAATGAAGTCACACGATACTGAAGTCCACAAGAAGAAGTGTTCAAACGTATTCTAAAACTGCTGCAACACACCTGAAATTCAACACAGAAAGGGTGCGAAGAACATTCACATTTTGTCATTGGCCATCCATAATACAGTATATATTTCCCCCGAATCACGGCAAACTCCTCAAAATGCTCCAATAAGCCCCGTGCAGCTGCGGTAGCGTGGCAAAACTCGGGTGCACATCACAGCAAGCTGCAGTTTCTCCGGCCGCCAACAGGTGGCAGCACCCGGCCCTACCGCCTTCGGCGCCGCCTGTGGCCGCCTGCAGGATTCGGAACGTCCGAGAGGGTATGTGCGCGCCCTTATAGCGCGGGTCGGACTCGGAGTGCAGGTAGGTGTCGGTCTCTCCGTCCACTGGAATACGGGTCAGTTCGGGTCACGGCAGGTCACAGCGGGTCAGGCCAGGTCGGACTCCGAGTGGAGGTAGGTGTCGGTCTCCCCATCTACTGGAATACGGGTCAGTTCGGGTCGCCGCACAGGTCACAGCGGGCCACAGCACAGATCAAATCGGGTCACGGCACAGGTCAATACGGGTTATTGCACGGGTCAATCATTGCACAGGGGTAAAGGCGAGTTAATGCAAGGAAACGAAGACTGGATTGCCTACTTTGACTCTTTCTGAAAACACATAGGTACAGAACGGTGTCAGAACATTACTTGGCACACGCGAATTCAACTCTCCCTGAAGAAAACTCTGAAAAATAATGTGTCACCATCACCACCGTCACCAAGAAGGTGCTATAAAATACTTCTGATATTAGGATAGCAATGGCATCCACGCCAACGCTGCTACCAGTGCCATCACCACCACTCAACCACCACCACCACCACTCAACTACCACCATCACCACCACTCAACTACCACCACCACCACCGCCACCAATGAAGCCTGAAACCAAGGCAAAGCGCCACCGCTGCCACCACTGCCACCAGTAGATTCCTCGGCTGTTAGACCTCCCGCTGGCACGCTCCCATGGCGCGGTGCACCAGGGAGGATATACTCTCTGTATACTCCCTCTATACTCCCTGCGGGTGTATGTATAGTCTGATTACCGGTGTGGTCGAGCTCCCTGAACAGGCGGGAGGGGATGTTGGCACCGCGGTAGAGCGGCCGGCGCTCCGCCTCGTACTGGCCGCCGTCGTCCACTGCGAGGCATAGTGAGATACCCTGAGATACCCTGAGCTACCAGCCCTCGACAGGAGTAACAGCAGAGTACAGAACGGCAGGGAGATACAGTAATCCGCCTCGTACTGGCCGCCGTCGTCCACTGCCAGACATAGTGAGATACCCTGAGATACCCTGAGATACCCTGAGATACCCTGAGATACCCTGAGTAGCCCTCGACAGGAGTCACAGCAGAGTACAGAGCGGCAGGGAGAGACGGTAATCCGCCTCGTACTGGCCGGCGTCGTCCACTGCGAGGCATAGTGAGATACCCTGAGCTACCCTGAGATACCCTGAGCTACAAGCCCTCGACAGGAGTCACTGCGGAGTACAGAACTGCAGGGAGAGACGGTAATCCGCCTCGTACTGGGTGATGTTGTCCACACATCACCCCACACTGTCACTGTCAGAGAGTGTGGGGCGCAGTGAGCTACCCTGAGTAGCCCTCGACAGGAGTCACAGCGGAGTACAGTACTGCAGGGAGAGACGGTAATCCGCCTCGTACTGGCCGCCGTCGTCCACTGCCAGACATAGTGGGATACACTGAGATACCCTGAGTAACCCTCGACAGGAGCCACAGCAGAGTACAGAACGGCAGGGAGAGATGGTAATCCGCCTCGTACTGGCCGCCGTCATCAACTGCCAGGCATAGTGAGATACCCTGAGTAGCCCTCGACAGGAGTCACTGCAGAGTACAGTAGTGTAGGGAGAGACGGTAATCCGCCTCGTACTGGGTAATGTTGTCCACTGTCAGAGAGTGTGGGGCGCAGTGAGCTACCCCGAGTAGCCCTCGACAGGAGTCACTGCAGAGTACAAAACTGCAGGGAGAGACAGCCCTCCAACCGGTACTGCAGGTGATGTTGTCCACTGCCAATAGTGTGGGGCACAATGAACTACCTTGAACAGCCATCGATAAAAGTTACAGAAAACGGCGAGAAGAACGAGGGTGAGGTCAATCGACCCAAAAGTAGCTCTGAGGACTGATGCGTGTTTGAGGAGACAAATGAGATCGTGGAAATGACTGCCCAGTGAAACTTTACTGAAACAGCCAGCCGCGAAAATTGCGAGGATTTCAGGCACACTGCCCTTAGAACCAGGATATGTGCACATAGAGCCATACAAGAACCAAATTTGCCTGTGCTTGTGCTGCCGTGCCAGTGCAAAGTGCGGGCAAAATGATACAATATACAAGAAATTATATAATAAGAAAACAGATGACGGCCTCCTGGTCAATGGAGCTCCTACCACTATACTTAGATGGAAACTACTCATAAGTCATAGCGTTGAACGATCCAGTCAAACGGCACATATCCGCCAGTCTGGCGCCCGATGACACGCCTTTTCGGAGTGGGCTATCGCTCACAGCAATGGTCCCAATCCACCAATCACAGAGCGCAGACTGACGGACACGGCACCAGTCATCAAACCCAAATAAACAAACTGAACACGGCTGACGAGGGGTGGCCGGGACAGCACGTCACGTGCAGGGAGGCGGAAAGGAGGGGGAGGCGGGAGGGGGACACAGTGACACGGCCGGAAAGGAATAGGGTGATACAGTGGTGACACAGCAGTGACACACGACACAGCAGTGACGCGGTGATCAGGCAGAGTGACGTTACGTGACGTGGAAGTTGACCTAAGGCAACACAACAGCGTGTCGGAGGGTGACACAACAGCAGATAGGGATGGATAAGGCTGTTCGGTCACTGTGGCGACAAATGCAAATTAGGATCACAACTAAAGGACATATCACAGAGCTGTAACGGCAAGACATATCTACAACGGTGACACAAAGCAATTCCGCCAAAAATGGCAGTCTCAACAATCAACACTCAGGGATGACACGAGTTCAACAGGAAAAACACGAAACCAAAAGACCAATAATGACTCATATCTAGGGAAACAGGGATGACCAGCAATGTAGGTACAGATATCACACGTAATGCACATAAATGACACACAGAAGATCATTGGACAGCATCTTACCGAACTCCACAGAGCGACAACCCTGGTGCTGGTCGTGATATTTTGATGGATGGGCTACCTGGGAAGGATCCGAAGGAAAAAAAAATGAAAGGAAAAAGAAAACACCAAGGGGCGGGGGTCACGATCTAACTAACCATAAAGTGTGCGTTGTAAAAAAAAAGAATATTTCCCAAAAGAAACAAAATTGCAGGAATGCCGCTTCACAAAACCGATGGTGCTTTAGCCATCCAAAAATCTATCTCAAAACCAAACTGCAAACTCTGGAAGGACGAGGATGAGGATCGGAGGATCAGAGGAGCGGAGGTGTGCACACGAGGAGAGCTGGCGAGGAACTGACACCTGGCGTGCCGGCGCCGCCCCACTGCACCGGCCGGCGGCCGTAAGGGCGGTTTGCTTACCCGGCAACACGCCAACTTCCGCCTTACGGCCCGTGCCAAGAAGGCGCAAACTCGGCGGGCAGCGACAGAGGTGGAGTGGGATGTTTGAATAGGCTCCAGCGGGAATTGCAGAGGGAGGGCAGGGTCAGGTCATCGGGTCATGGGGGACGCTGCAACTTAACCAGGAAAATTTGCTGTTTTCCACATATGACGTTTTTTAATTACATACACCTTCGCATTTTTACGTGAGGAGGTGAAACCCCAGGGAACAGCATTGCAACAACCGTCTTCAATAGCGCTTTAGACTTGCAATGACACAGAGGTTGCCTCGTCGAAAAAAATGGGACAATTTTGGCGTACATCCTACCTCTGGAAACATCATATTTGTGAATTTCAATCAGGGTGAGGCAATTAATAATTGACTGGCGTTCCTAATAAATAGCTAAATTTTACATTTTCACATACACTCCCATGATACCGGACACCGGGCGTTGCTCGACTCCAACCCAAACAGTGGCTATTTTCAGAGCACCCCGGTACTGTGTGCGCTGTGAGGGGCGTTTGATCACCGCTCGTACCGGCTCGTAATCCATGGACGCCCACACGGTCATCTGGCAGCAGCCGGCTGCCAAATCCAACGCCCAGAAATATACCAGACGTCGGCAGACGCGGCATTAGGGGCAAATAGCGCCGATTCAATGAACTTATGTTCGGAAAAGATGAAATATTTTGGCGGCGTCACATTTCGAGGAAACCGCTCATTTTCCAGTTTTTATTTCATCTAGTCTCCTGACATTGCGCGGTAATGATACCATTCTATTCTGAAAATTGGTGCACATTGTAACTGACAATCACATGAAAGGCCTAATATAATGTGGGTTGTCAAAGACCCCAACATAATCAGTTACTCCCAGTCCCAAGAAAGGCCAGAGGTCAATCATGGGGACGGTCCTAGTAACTGTCAACTGTCATACAGGGTATAAATGGCCGTAAGTGCCGGGACCGTTCTGATATTATACATGTGTCCTGAGTTTATAAATGTACCACGCCTATGATTAAAGGGACCCTCCCACCTTCAAAAAAGTTAATGAATTGGCATGAAAGTGATGTCCCTTGGTTCAGAAAGAGCGAAAACGAATATCTACCAAATTTCACCGAAAAATATTCACTGGTTTTCAAGATATTAGGCTTTTACTTTTGTTTATTTTTTGGGATCTCCCCTGTTACTAGCGACTTTATTTGGAAGCAATAATTTGGCAGCCTTAAAGTGCGGCAGACGTTGCGCGCAAAGCAGCGTATACCACCACGTGTTAACGATGGTTTTAGTCTAAGATTTAAAAATCGTTAGATCTCTGCTGACGTCACAAATTCTAAGGGGGCATTCCAATGCATTAGCCCCTTAGAATCCGAAAACTGCAAGTTTGAAATTCCATATCTTCGAATTAAAGCATTTTTCGATGTTGTGAGTGCCCAAACCGGTATTTGCAGGCCATGGCCACCAATTTGGCTATCTCAACTCAAAACTAATGTTAAGGTGGGAGTGTCCCTTTAACGCTCTCATAAGCGGAGATACTAAATCACGCGCCTATGACTGGGCAAAACTGCGCACGGGAATGACCGCCTACAGCATAAGATCAACAACCAGGTCCGCTAGGTAGAATCAAAATCATTTACAAACCAGGACAGAGCTCTCAGCAAGACATGAGAAGGACAGAAGCAGATTTATGCCGATGACAGTAGGATTAAATGAAAAAATATGAAAAACAAGAAGTGGGTCGCTAGCACAGCACCCACGTCGCACACATCACGCTATTTTTAGTTTACGCAGAACAGTCAGCGCAGGTTCGGTAGACATAACATATGACGTCACCAGTACAACTCTGCTTCACAAACTACCCCCTCTCTCCTCCTCCCCCACTCTCCCCAGACGCATGCCGTAGCTGGCGTTTATTACCATTGGCCGGCCCCTGCTCCTCTGCCTCCGGTGGGAGGGGCAGGGGAGGAGGGGGTGATCACGTCTGATTTATGGGCGGTGAGGTCAGCGATCGTCCCAGGGGGAGGGGGGAGGTAGACAGGTGGGCCAGGGGGTGGGGCGGCCAGTGGTGGCTATTTCTAAGGCGAAACTCAACAGAAATAGCGGTGACATCACCGCTGCACTGGGGGGACTGGATATAAATGGATGTGAGCGAATGGTTTTGATGAATTAGATTAGACGAAGATGGTTTCTGATGATTTTAGGATAGAAACGTATTGGTGAACGTTTTAAGACCTTGGCTTGCAACTAATTAGATTTATTTGACTGGGTGATAAACTTCTCGCAAAAACGAATTAGCTTCAAGAACGATTGTATGCAGCTCGGAGTTCGGACCGAATGAAAGAAGACAATTTACCGTCTGTTAGGCTAAGATTGTCTTACTTTGGATACTAGGTATTTCTCTAAAGCAGTAGGTAATTGTATTTTATTATGTGGGCATTATTGCGTATTCGTCAAACCCCTCAACGTTTAACCCTCGCATGTGTGCGGCGTTTGCCAGCTTCTAATGTGTAGGGGGGGGGGGTCGGTTGGACCCCCCCTTGCCGTTTGGCCCCTGATCGAGCTAGAGCTTCGCGGAAAAAACGAGCGTGTTGCCCGTGACGAGAGGAAGCCGATGGTACCCAATTTTAAGGTCCTAGGTCATTGATTGACCTTCCAGGTCAGGTCAATGACCCAAAGTCGGGAAAATCGGGACCTGTTAGAAAGTCGTAAAGTGTGGCTGCTAAGGAGTTTTTCGGGGTGCTGATCACGAATATCGCGTTAGTTTTGATCACAAATGATGTCTTGAAGCATTTAGACCAGGTCGGGTCAGGTCAGGTCAGGTCAACCAGTAGGCGTCGTGACGGGTATTCGTAGTACGTGTCAACCGCCTCTGACAGCTTCGTAGCATGTTACGAAGTCACCAAAACTACTTCGTAAATGTTCAATTGGTTGCTAAATTCGAATTCAGCTCCAAAAACTAGCCTAGAAACATGTAAAACTCGAAAAAGTGACCCGAGGTCACCCGAGGTCACCAAAGGTCAATGACCTGACCTGACCTTCAGGTGACCTTGACACACACGGCAGTAACATCAAATCACATGTTGGAACGTTTGAAACCACGAAAAGCTTGCAAACACGCGGCTAGTGCGAGCCGACATACGCGAAATCGCGATTCCGGCCAAACATGGTCTCGGAAAAGAGGTCACAGGTCAAAGGTCATTTGGGTCAGGGTCATGAAATTTTCAGGGTAGGTGTAAAATTGATCAATGCGAGGGTACTGAAAGTTTCGTCGCGATCGGCCGCTTTTTACGCGAGTTATTCGCGAAAAACCATGGGGGGGGGTCCATCCGACCCCCCCCCCCCCTACACATGCGAGGGTTAACCCACAGTGGTTTAACCTATCGATATGTAGCCGTGAACCGCGGCTAAAACAGACCCGGTCTGTCGCAGCCGGGAGCAGTCCCGAGTATTGGAAACATTTGCAGCGTTAACGAGCGTGCACAGGCCGAAATAAACACGGCTGGCGCTGAGATGAGATCACCACGGCCCGAAGGCCTAGCGTCTGACGGCAGTAAGGGTCAGAATATTGGGCTGGAACACGAGAGGGACGACCTTACAGACAGGCGGGGTGGTCGAGGGATAGGTATTTTGCGGATATTGTGGTGTCTGAATAAAACCGAAATGCACTCGTAAACGATTAATGTTTGTACTGACGTTCAGTCAGACCCTGCAAATAAATCTGGGCATCATTGTGACAACAGTAAATCGAACAAAAAATAAAAATTGTTCCAGTTCTCATTGAGAGTAGGAAAGGAATGTCAAAAGAAGATCAAGCTTTTCCAAACTAAACATCAGCACTGGATTGGAATTGGATCGCGCAATAGCTCTGCAGCGGTGACCTTATCCAGCCTGACCCCATTGAGAGTGCACCAGTAACTGTATCCGATGGACATTGAGACCTCATTGTTCCACAGAACACTTGGGAAGGGGGGGGGGGAGGAAATCAAACTAGGGCGTTAGCCTTCTGGACTGGCTGATGTACTGAGGCCAGGGAGTGCTTCACGTCTACATAGACCTAGACCTGTTTATATAGGCGAGAAGATTGGTAAATTTTCCAAAGAAGATAACCGAATCAGCAAATGAATCAGCCGGAGGAAAAGTTTCGGACATCGTCCTGCAAACAGGCTTTTTTACTGGGAGAAGATTATAAATACAAACACTTTCCGGGGAACAGCAATTGCAAAACAATCGTACATTGAAAGCACACAAAAAAATAAGGAGCCCAGATTCCACACACGCTTTCGACCTTCAGCACATCATTAGAGACCACACAATGAGCAAATATGTACAATCAGTGATCACTGATCAGTGCACGACAAGAAGTTCCACCAGTGACGTATCACATCCACTCCACCAATGACGTCACCGGCTGCAGACTCACCTTTGTTTTTGAAGGCGCTCATCAGCTGTTTGTCGCCGTCAGAGAGCTGGACGCTCCTCATACACGGCACCAGGTCATCGCCGGGGTCAGCCGAGGTCATGGCGGGGCGGGGGCGCGGCGCGGCGCCTGGAGCAGAGCCGGGTCAGGGGTTAGCGGTGGCGCGGGGGCGCGGCGCGGCGCCTGGAGCAGAGCCGGGTCAGGGGTCAGCGGTGGCGCGGCGCGCAGCGGCAGGCGGGTCAGGGTCAGGGGGTTCGGTGGGGGAGGGGGGGGAGGTGATTGGAGGGTCGGTGATGACAAGGAGACGGCACTGCCGGAGGACGGCAATTACTTTCGTAATCGGGATCGGTGTTCAAGTTCGGAGGCTCGCTATTTTGTGTGCCCCGACAAATTGTTTTCAAAAGTCACATTTACTTTCCACAAATCATATTCACTATGACGTTGATCGCTCCCTAACGGCTATTGCCTTGCGAGCAAGA